AATTAACAAAAAAAAGTTTATATAATTTAATTAATACAATTTATGGTCATTGTAAGTCATAGTTATTAATACAAATAATTAATGAATACAGTATAAACTTTGTCTAAATGGTTAATGGTACTGTATTAGTGTGTAAAATATGTTATAAACTTATATGTTATTAATGTTTAATTTCCATTTTATAAATTATTTGTCATTTATATTATTTGTAAAAAATTATGTAAATATTTTTAAAGTTAATAATATTTTCATTATATCCAGCATTTAAACCTCAAGTGAACTCGGTGGCTGCAAACAATACGGCACCTGTATCTCCCTATACCGGGGGTTTCTATAGAGCCGGTATAATATAAAGGCTTTAATTAATTAATTATTTGTGAATAACTATGAAATAAAACAAAACTTTTTTGAAACAATTAGCCAATTATAGAGGTATGGGTGCCGGTGGTTATGGTGCCCCAAACCAGCCCTATTATCACAATAATAACGGACCTGGATACAACAGTCCCGGATATAACAGCCCTAATAATGGACCTGGTTACTACAATAATGGATATGGCGGTAATGGTAATAACGGATATAATAACGGACCTGGTGGTTATGGACCTGGAATCAAAACCTTAGGTATTGCTGTATAAATAACAAAATTATATTACTAATGTTACTAGATACTAGTGCATTGGCACACTGTATGTACCGTATATACTAGTATAATACATCCCGCATATTTAAAATAAGTGAAATAAAGCTTGTAATTGTTGTTATCCAAACTGATAGATATAGTGAACCTGTTAATTGCGGCTAAATTTGAGGAGGCTCAGTGCGAGGGTAGTAGCAAGGCCAATTTCACGGCACTCCTACTGATTGATAGGCAAAAGTTTTGCGCCAAACAGACCATCGTTGACAACAGTGTCAACACATTGACGGAAAAGATTGCCAATCAGTTGATTGTGAATGAGTTGCTGTACGTAGTGACCCTGGTCAACAGAGCGAATGGTAAGTGTTTTAAGATATAAATGTACACATGTATATAAACCATATAATTATCTATAACATATAATTTATTTATTTATGGACCTATAAATTAAAAAATAAATTTATGTAGTGTATCACTAGAAAGCTCTAAAATGCTAACGCTGTCAACTGTATGTTGCTAGGTCATTTCGTGATCGACATACTGGCGTACGTCATCAGGGGTCCCAACTCGGTGGAGGGAAAGTATGTCTATTTCCGGATATTTGTGAAGGAGCAGCAAGTATTCCGAAAGTGTTCCAGCTTTTTGGACTCGTCAAACATCAAGGTGGAAAGCATAATCGTCATGATTGTCGAGCTG